CATATCTCCCAAATTATGCCTTGCATTTGTATTGATTTCATTTAAGATATAGAGCAATTTTCCTCATATATTCTATTGTATTTTTACCTTTTATTGTGAAGAATCTTGGCTGAGGGCTGTTATGTTTAGAACTTCATAGTACTGGGAATGGCAATGAGTGAGTCTGTTCCCATTGCCACTGATTCAATTCCTATTCATAGAGACCGTATAGGGCAGAGTAAAGCTGTCCATAGGGTTTCCAAGGCTGTAATCTTTAAGGGGAAGTACAGTTGCTCTATAGAATAAGTACTGGACTTTGAACTACAAGGTCGGCAGTTCGAGCTACCAGCTGCTCCACAGTAGAAAGATGAGGTTTTCTATTTCCACAAAAGATATATGGCCTCAGAAGAATGATACATGATCACTTTGAGTTGGAACCAATTCGACAGCTCTTAACAGCAACAGTCTTGGTGGATGTCTACTGCCTCATTGCACCCCCTGAGGAGTGTCTGGTGAGTTCCAACATCTGACCTTTCAGTTAGCAACCAATCTCTTTAGCCACTGTGCCATCAGGACTCCTGAATGGGTAAGCTGTGCTCAGAAGTGCCATTGAGTCCATTCCAATTCATAGTGACCCAGTACAGGGTTTTGAAGGAGCAGCTGTCAGGTTTGAACCATTGACATTGTGGTTGGCAGTTCAGTGCCTATCTTGAAGTGCCATACCAGGAGTCCAATGGGTGAGTTGTTGTTAAGTGCCGTGGTCTTGGTTCTGACTCATAGTGACCCTGTATGGGGTGTACGAGGAGCAGCTTGTGGGTCTGAATCATGGACATTGCAGTTTAAACTGACCTTGAGGTCAAGTGCTGATCCTACAGTGCTGCATTATTGCATGGCCATGGAGTATGGTCGGGGTACTGCCATGGTGGCTCTAAATAGTCCTGTTGTTGGCTATATTAGATTATAACATCCTTGAGGAAAAAGACAGTCATGTATTTCTTTCTTGTTCTTTTTTCTTTTTACAAATTCCCCACAGGTGTTGGCACATTGTCCGATAAGTCAAAAGTTTAATAATTTTCTACTGAATAGAAAACTAGAGATGTCTTCCCTGCACAATCCTATGAATGACAGGTGGGTAAAATGTCTCCTTCTAGGAGCTTTTTGAATTATGGTTTTAGTGAGGAAAATTACAAGTACCATGTAGCTGCCAGCAGAACAAACATATCTGTGCTGGAAGAATACAGTCAGAATGCTCCTTAGAAGTCAGGATGGCAAGACTTTGTCATACATCTCAGGTACTTTGGACATGTTATCTGGAGGAACCAGTCCCTGGAAAAGGACGTCATGCTTTCTAAAGTAGAGGGTCAGCGAAAAGGAAGACCCTCAATGAGACGGATTATCACCGTGACTGCAACAGTGGTCTCGAACACAGCAATGACTGCCAGGATGGTGCTGAACAGGGCAGTCATTTGTCCTATTGTCTATTGTCCTAAGATCACTATGTGTCAGTACTGACTTGATAGTCCCTAACAACAATAGGAGCTTTTTCCTGGGTAGGACAGGTCTCCTTGCTTTTTCCTTCATTAGCTGAAACACTATGAAGAAAGCTAGTTTTCTCCCACCAAGATTCTGAAAATCAGGTAACAGGATTTCAACATGCTTATGCTGAGATGTCTGAATGTGTCTGTATTTCCTATCCTGGACTGCCAACATTTGTCTCTTTCGTTCTGGCTTCACTCTCAACAAAGGCCAATGGCATTCTCCAATTCAGTATTTTTCCTTATTAGTTGTACCTCTTCTGAGACAGGCCAGGCTAATGGGAAGGGACATGTAAATTTAAAAAGAAAATCTGTCACCTATACTGGTGAAAATGAAATATTAGAAAATACAAAACGTCCTAATAAAAAAGCAACAATTATTACTGGTAATTTATTTTGATCTACGTTGTTGTTGTTGTGAAGTGCTGTAGAGTTGGTACCTACCCATAACAATCCTGTATAGGGTTTCCAAGGAGCAACTGGTGAGCTTGAACCAGCAACCTTGCAGTTCAAACCAACTTTGCAGTCCAACGCATTAACCCACAGTGCCATACCAGGACTCTAGGCTAGGTCAGCTCATTTAAAATGTTACCTTTTAGTACAAGTTCAGAGTAGAGCATTATTAACATTTAGAACATAATCTATTCTCTTGCTGATAGACATTACAGCAATATACAACCTCTTGTTAAGTGCCGTAGAGTAGATTCCGACCCATAGCAACCCTGTATAGGGTTTCGGAGGAGTAGCTGGTGAGCTTGAACCACCCACCTTGCAGTTCAAATGGCTTTGTTGTCTGGTGCATTAACCCACAGTGCCACACCAGAACTCCATACAACCTCTTAGGATGTTTTAATTTATAATAATTTTTAGGATGTTTTAAATATTAGCAAATTTCCAGAGGACACATAGAACATATTCTTATTTCATTTCAGAGGAATATTTTATGTTCATTTTAATAAAATCATAGAAAATTGCTTATTAAGATTTTTTTTTAAAGTCACAGAGTATAATCTTTTACTCCATGTCTGTTAAATGTAATGCAGATAGTGTCTGGAAGATAAAGCGATTTGATTTTTGAAAGCCAGAAAGTTAGACTCACATTTATTCTTTTTAGTAACAAATATTCTCTGAGTCTGTTATGTAGCAAAAAATGTACTGAATGGAAATAAGCATATTAGAATCTACTGAATTGTCCAATTCCTGATTTATATGAATGACAGTATTCTTTTGAGTTATAGATATTTCCCCCAATATGTGTACAATTTTGCTTATGTTCACTTATTTTTAATATAAAGTTTAATTTAAGAATATAAGAATTTTAAATATAAGCTAAAATGCAGCTTCATTATTAATTTCAATAGAAGATTTTATCTGTCAAGCAGTGCTGTACTTCTCTACTATTTGGGATGATATTAATTTGCAAACAAATTGATTCAGTGGATGTCTTCATTTTTCTAATTCCTAGTTTGGTTCTAGCATTTTGACTTACATTTCTAATGTGCATGGGGGAAATGTTAAGTTATTAGTTTAAATGTGGATAACTTTCTCTGTGTATATACATATGTTGTTGTTGTTAAGTACCATGGAGTTGGTTCTGACTCATAGTGACCCTGCACAGGGTTTCCAAGGCTGTACATCTTTACAGGAGCAGAACGCCTCATCTTTCTCCTGCGGAACTGCTGGTAGTTTTGAACTGCTGACCTTGAGGTTCGGCAGCCCAACTCGTAACCACTACACTACCAGAGCTCCATACACATATGAGGGGACTCCAAAACATTTGTGGAAAGATGGAATGAAAATATAATGGAATTTTTCCATGAACTTTTTGAAGCCCCCTCACATATTTATATTTTATGGAAACTATCAGAACATTCTAGGCAAGTTGGAGCTCTAAATTATATAAAGAATACTTTAAGAAAATATAGTGGATGGTGCTTAGAATAGAGGTACCTAGGAGGTCACCTGAAGGATTGTCCCAGAAGAATCCTGAGCACTTCTGCCTACTCTCTTTGTCACTCTTCTCCTGAGATTCAGTTTTTTTCTCTCAGAATCAAGAGAACGTTGATCAAGATTGGGGAAAAAAAGGATTGGATCCACACTGTTCTACTTTCTTTTATCTTTCATGTCTTTCTTTGTGGCCAGGAAATTCACTTGGCAAAGTTTGTCCGTCCTTCTCCTGAAATATGACTTGTTATTAGATCAGAATACACAAATAAGCTGAATTTGAAACACTCTAATTAGATTGGTATGGTGCTGTGGGATAATGCGGTGGACCACAAGGTCTATTTGAACGCAAGTTCAGCGGTTCAAATTCACCAGCAACTCGTTGGACACCTATATAGAGGTGTGATGAGCCATAAGTGTCTCAAAGTCACTTACCACCAACAACAATGAATTAGATTGAGGAGTCCCTGGATAGTGCACACTAGTAATAAACTCAGATACTAACCAGAAGTTAGGATGTTCAAAACCACCCAGGCACCTAGGAAGAAAGGTTTGGTGATCTACTGAAAAAAAACACCCAAACATTGAAAATCCAAATGAAGCACAGTTCTACTCTGACACTCATTGGTACCCTAAAATCAGAGCATTGTTCTGTGGGTTGGTGGTCCATTGACAACATTGATAGCCCAATCAAGAGCCTGAAGGTAACATTTGGACAGATCTTTAGATTTTTAAAACAAAGATAAGGGTGCATGATTTAAATTTTTCATATTTCTTTAATACAAATTGAAAATACTAACTCAAATGTTTTCCATCTGTGGATTATTTTTTCAAGTCTATGAACACTGGGACATAACTAATACTTTGTTAATTATATTCTTTATATGCATTTTTGCTTTAGCCACTACAAAGAAGTAACCATTTTTAAAGTTATTTTATGAAGCTGGGTCTATTTTATGGATGAAGTGAAAACAAAACTGAGTTAATACTGCTTTTGTAGACAATTTTGTAGCGTGACCCATAATGTCTAGTTCACATGACAATCTTTGATTTGCTATTTAACTTTAACAGGAGCCTGAGAGTCTCAGATAGAGAAATGACTTTCTGAGAGTCTAGATAGGTTTGAATGGAATTAATTTATTGCTACTACTTACAAACATTCAATAAAAGTTCTGGCTCAGTAATGACAAAGGAAACAAGAGAAGACTTACCAATTCTGTTGTCTCTCCTATCTTCACTAAATTGCTTTTTCAAAAAGTTGCAGCCCTTCCTGTTTTCAGACATAGAATTATAATGTCTGATCCACAGTCTCTTCAATGCCAGCAATTTTTAGGGAATCTTTCAAATGAGGTTTGTTAGTGCAACTCCAAATTTATAATGTTAGCGAATATTTTTGCTTTGACAGTAATTGCATACTTAAAATTTTGAAGGGACTTGACTAGCAATTCTTGGGTATTACAAGGTGCAGAACATAAGTCTCCCAGCAGATGCACTTATTACTTTACATACTGTTTACCCGCTTTTGGTGACATTGAGGCTAACCTTGGAGTCACCTCCCCCGCTGCCACATTCTCCTTTGTCGTACCACCATTTGTTTTTCAATTTGTCCAAGAGGCCTTGTTCATTCAGTTTTAAAACTGCGAGGTTAACAGCATTTCTTGAAACGATAAAACATATTTTGTAAGAAACTGCACAGCTGTTAAGATGTTAGAAGGAATGAGGACTTAAGCTCCTTTATAAGCTTCTCCCAGACGCTAAATAAACCTCTCATTTTGCCCTCCTGCACTTCCTTCCACCAAAGTCCAAACCAAAGGCAATTGCAGCTAATTTTAAATGTATTAAACATGCAGTATTTGGTGCTTTTCAATTTCTCAGCCCGTATTGTCAAGTAACTGATCCCATTAAACAGTTACCTTGATTTTTTGGTGTATGTGCAAAATACTAATAAACTTAAATTTACTGAGAATTGAGGAAGAATTGTATCTTGAATTCTTTGTCTAAGCATATCAACAACTCAAGAGACTGGGATGAAAATATGTTTCCAGAAGAAAAAACAAAATAGCATAAACAAACATTTTGGATACTGATTCTTGGCCACCAGTAACATGGCTCAATTATTATTCTTTTTCTTATCTGTGGTTATAGTTTTCTTGAGATGATCTGAGAATAGAGGATTCTGAGGTTTTTAATTCAGTTTCATGGGTGGAAGTCATGACATCATCTTAGGGAAAAAGTTCTTACATCTCAATTTTGTGTTGATTTTTTAAGCCCTTTTACACTATTTACATACTAATATCTTATATCCAATTTGACTATTTAACGAAAGTAACTGAACTCCAGAAGATCATGCTGCATGTGAATATGGACTTGGCAAATAAATACTCTAGATTCATATTCTCCGTGTTTATCTCTACATGGGAATGGAGGGAGCATATTCTAATTATTTTCTAACAGAATTTAAAAAATGTAATGTCTCTCATGTACTTTGTTTCTTTCTTGCTTTCATAGTTTTTAAGTGACCCACTAACTCTTTCAACTGACTTTCCTAGAATTTGATGAATTTTCTGTTAAATTTAGGGAGTGACTGATACAGGCAAACCTCATTTTATTGCATTTCACTTTATTGTGTGTCACAGATATTAGTTTTAAATATAGATATAAATTAAATATTGGTGGCACCCTGCCTTGAGCAAGTTGGCACCATTTTTTGAATAGCATGTGCATACTTCATGTCTCTGTGTCACACTTTGATGTTAATTCTTGCAATATTTCAAACTTTCTCATAGTGCTATTGAACACTTTAATAGACTACAGTATAATGTAAACATAACTTTTATATGCACTGGAAAAAACCCCACAAAAAAAAAACAAAGTGTGACTTGCTTTATTGTGGTAGTCTGGAACCCAACCTGCAATATCTCCAAAATATGTCTGTATACTGAGGGACTTTGGGAACAGTTTGTACTATATTACTTAATAACTGCTGAGTTTGTGACTGTATAATGCCAAATGGATTATAACACTGGAATTTGGACTTGCAATTGAGTTGTCATTGGGCTGACCAATAAAAATGTGTTGAATATTTTACCACCAATCAACCTAACCAAAAAGCCAAACCCACTGCCACTGAGTCAATTAGCACTCATAATGACTCCTATGTAGGGTTTCTGAGACTGTAAAACTTTATGGGAGCAGACAGCCTCATCTTTGTCTTATGGAGAGGCTGGTGGGTTTGAACTGTTGACTTTGCAGTAGCAGTCCAGTGCTAATGTTTATTCTTTCAAAATGTATTTCTAATATCTTAAGTAAGTGATGTGCATTTTATAGTGTGGTGATAGTCTGATCCACTAGGAGAGTAAACACTTTCTATGAGCAAACCATACACTTTGGGGATATTATCACTTTTGAGGAGCAGGACTGCCATTTCCTAAATGCTAATTAAATGAATAGCTATTCACACATCCCAAAGTAAGTGTAACATTAGTGGCATGAAACAATTAATACACTTGCTAAAGTGAACAGCAAGTTGTCAGTTTAATCACCAAAAGGATCAGAGTAAAATTTAGGAAAGAAAAAAAAAATCTGGTGAAGGTGAAGACACCTAGTAAAAAATCATATTTGTAGAAAAGGAATTATTTTAATTTATTATATATATGCAAGAAACTAATTTCATTTTTCAATGAGTTAAAAATAACTTTTAAAATTTATATTTTGGAGAAATTTTTGTAAACCATTTTACTTTACCCGTAACGTTCTTATTAGATATATGTTTTTTAAACTAGTATACTAATTATATGTTGGTTTAGACCATTCCTTTAATCAAATTAAAGTCATTCCATGAGAGGGTTATTTAACAGAATTATTAGCCATATCCAAAGACAGTTAAACAGCACAATAGAAAACAAAACAAAACAAAACAAAACAGCAAAATAAAGGAATGGATAAGGAAAAAAAGCTTTACATTGAGAAAAATATTTTTGTAGTACAAGCTTTCTAAAAATCATTCTAAGACATTGTCTTTCTAATACCATCTAATAGGCCATGTAAAAACAGTTTAGTTTCACACTGCTATCAGTATATGTGCATATATAGATATATATTTGACCAATAATATAACTGTGTATATATATATATATATATATCCAATAATTCCCTGCCCAGCTTACAATTTGATCCACATGTTGCCTTTCCAGAAATATGTTGTCTTTTCATAAAGTCCACTTAATACCATCCTATGTGAAACCTATTCTTTAAGAATAATATATGATAGAAAGGTCTTTTAATTAATGTTGGAATTAGTCCACACCACTTTCAGAAGTTTAGGTCTATAGGTCTCCTTGGATTGCTATTTAAACTGGCATAAACCACCCATGCAAGGACCAAATATTTAGACATCTGTAATATTTTATGGAATGCATTCAATTTTATTAAAAATAAGTCATCAAATACCTTTAAAATATATAAAGTTAAAGTTATTTCATTTTGCTAGATTAAGTTAAAAATACTTTGTATCCAGGCCAAAAGAAAAGGGAACCCTAAAAATAAATGTAACTAAGGCCAAGGGAGTCACAGGAGTCAGGTAAAGAATGGATAGAGAAAGCAGATCTCTCCATTAGCTTACTTTATTATTGCTTTGGAACGTCCTTCATATGATTCATAAATCTAGTTCAAAATCAATGTCAGAAATTCATAATGATTATCAGGGATATTCTTGGCAAGGTTAAGCCTAAGAGAAGCTATCCTAGTAACCTGCCAAGCAGATAGAAATTTAATAAGATACAACATGTGCTCTTTTTATACTATTTTTTAAATTGGGTTAAATGCAGTTTTCACAGAATAAGCTAAATCAAAATAGGAAAGGGGAGGAAACAGCAACAATTAGTGATATTCATTCTCTTTGGAAGTGTAAACTAAATGTGAGAACACAACTGTGTTGGTCAAGACCTTTTCTAGACTGAAACAAGACTTAGGTAATTTAATTATATGTCTTTGCCTTTAGGTCTTAGTGGAAATCTAGGCAAGAAAAAACTCTCTTTGAATAGTATTATTATTATTATTTTTGTAATGATGACATGGTGAACTTGAGTCAGAACTGAAAAGAAAATGCTTACCTGATCAAATTCCAGGACCCCTGGAAAACTTTCAAGGGTTTTTAGTCCTGGAATTTCTGTCATTGTAGCATGACATTATAATATATCTTATTGCCACTTTTGTTAACTAGAATCTTTGTTTACATATCACATCAAACAAAAGTTTTAATAGAGACCAATCCTTAGGATAAATCATCAAAAATAAGATTTTCTTGCAAAAAAAAAAAATACAGTTCAGGCTAAGGCATTTATCTCTTACTCCCTGTTCTAGTATAAATAATTTGTCATTGAATTCTATAGATTTTCTTTCTTTATGACGTACTCATCATATTTACTTCTAGATATATTTCTTAAAGTATAATTTCTTGGGGCACATTTTAAAACTCAATTGAAACTTAAGTTCAAAACAGTATTTTGATTTCCTGGATTTGTTACTAATTTGAGGACTGATGTTTCATACCCTCAGATTTAGTCAATATCTGCACACAGGATATTCAGTGCATATATGAGGGGGCTTCAAAAAGTTCATGGAATAATTATTTTCATTCCATTTTTCCATAAACTTTTTAAAGCCCTTTTGTATACTTTAAAGATTAATAATTTGAAATATTATTGTTCATCGGTTAAGGCATTTTCAATTCCATGTCACTTAATAGGATGAACATTTTATTATTGGTTTTGATGCTGAAGTGTATAAATATAATGCAATTCATTAATCTTAACCACTGGAATTTTTCAAAGGTAAGTAAAAATGGATTGCTACTAGTGTTCCAGTTCATACATGCATGAGTTTAAACATTTCTCTGCGATCAATGGATAGTTATAGACAAGTTTTCTCAGCAATATAACACACCTGTCTTAGTCTCTTTAGGGTGCCTTCAAAAAAAAGGGGGGCAGGGTACTAAAAAAAGTGTGTACAAAAATCAGCTTGTCCAAAGAGCTTATTTTTCCATGAGTTTTTAAAGCAAGGTCAAAACTAATTAGGATGACTTTATGGAATGAATTATAATCAGGGACAAATTTTAGATTTACCAACGCGATCCAGAGAGCAAAGACCAACCAAAATAGTGACTTCCAAGGAGATCTCCTGAGCCAATTAGATTCAAAGCAGAAAGATCAGCTCAGAAAATTACAATAACTGTCTTCTGAGATTCCAAATGGGGAATAGAATCTCCATAGATTTTTCTTGAAAGACTTAGGCCATTATGAAGGCTTGTTATGCAGAAGTTTTTAAAAAGCTGAAAACTGCATTGGTGAGAAAAAGATCAGGAAAGTTGTGCCAAATAATGTATATTTTTTTCCAACAAGAAAAATAGCACTCTTTGAGGGTTATGAGGTCTGTCCTATGAAAATTTCCTTGGAAAACCTTATCCCATTTCCCTACAGTGCTCATCTTGCACTTTCAGATTTCTTTTTGTTCTATAAACTCAAAGAACATTTTAAAGGAAGATGATTTGAGTCTCTCAAGGATGCCAAAACTTCTGTTTTAATGTGGTGTAAATGGAAGAGAACAGACTTCTTTGGGGAAGGGCTAGAGAGATGGAATCACTACCTTCAGAAGTGTGTA